ACAGCTCAAAGTTGGCACAATAAATACATAAGCATACGTCATTCATTGGTTCGATTAGAACATGCTTTGGACGCATGGAATAGAACTTAGATTTGCTAATTTTTATACCCGGATTCTCTTCTTTCAAAGTGTGATATACTTCCTTTAAACTTCGGGTTAAAAAACGCTTGACTTTTTTAACTTTCGTGCCATTTTCTCTTACTATTATAACATCTGCTTTATTAGGACTTTGTCTCGAACAATTGAAGTCATCATTCAAATAATATTGCATGACAATATCGCCTGTTTTTTTATCCAGTGGATGACCATTGTACTGCTCTGGTTTAGTATAAATACCTGGATTAGAGATAATATAACAATAGCTATAAAAATAAAACACGCAAAAAAATTGTGCATTGATTGTTATTACATAACAAAAAATTTATATTTTTACCTTGATTTGAAACAATTTTTCTTGCCTTATCAATCATGTAAATAGTAACTTCAGGAAATAACGTCAAAATTTCGAACTTTGTTAACAAAGGAACGATAATTGTTAAGAGTTTGATCACCTCTGAAAAACATGAGCAATTACTGAAGGCCTTAGAGAAATTTTCTCTCAATTCTTGAGGGAAATAATCATTTAACTTTTTTACAGGCTCCTCAATAGGTACATCATAAATCTTTTGTAATTTACAATTTGTAGCTTCAGAGAATGATGATACAAGCTCTCTCTTTTTTTTCATAACATATTTTTCAACACTTGTATTTTTTATGTTTCCTTTCTTACGCAAAGGAGATACTGGATTTTCTAAATTAGCAATTATTTTATCATTAAATTCATCCATGAAAATTGAGGTGTCTATAAACTTGTCTTCTTCGTCATTCCCTTCCATTGAAATATTGTCATCTGACATTGTTTCTTCTTCTTTTTCTGCTTGTATTGCATCGCAAGCTTTAACGATACGTTTATAGCAGTTACTACACACACTGTCACTAGCTTTTATATCAGGATTTGTAAATTTTCCTTGTAAAAATACAGCATACTCACCAATTTTTTGAAAATTCACTTTGTTGCTATTATACACCACTTTAGTATGTACTTTGAAATAATTGGGGCATTTTAATCTTTGCGTAGAATACGTTAACATAGCTGACATGTTGTCAAGTAGAAATTCAAACACGCACTGTCGCTACTTACTGAATAAATGATAAGACTATTTATAAGTATCATGGAATTTGTATACACAAACAGGACTACACACATAAAGGTCTATGACAACAGCTGACATCATAACAAGTCAATACTCGCCGATTATCATGTTATTTAAATGCTCGTGAGTGTGAATGCAAGATAGTCAACATAAAAAATTTTCTAGTTAAAAAATTTTTTTTTCTCAGTAACGAAGTAGAAACCGAAAATGGGACCTATACTGGATTGAAGGTAGCGTATCAGAGAATCTCCATCAAAATTATGAGCGCAAAAAAAAGTGGGATTTTTTAAAAAATCGAGTTTTTTATGAGATGCATTTTTTTGGAAAAAGTGCATAATCTTCTCGGAAATGCATTAGTGCATTTATTTTAATGCATAGATTTGAAGGCTCTGTATTTCTCTATCGTATAAAAAAAGATTTATTCGATTCCGATGATAAATAAGCATGCGCGAATCGATTGAAATTGAATACGATATTTTTTTTTTGTTAGTCTGTTTTCTGAAAGTGCATCTTTCAAGTACGTTGTTGATGCACCTATGCATCTTGGGGGGAAAAGAAAAAATAGGGGTCGTCTTATTTTGGGCCTAGAACATTATCCAAGTATTTTGATGTTGTTTCGTTACCGGTCACCCGGTGCCCTGCATGATTTGAGGTGGAATCAGCCAATTACTTAAAAATATGATAATATAAATCTATGCCCTAAAATCTACGAGTATATAAAAAACACTCCGGTTCATTGACATTACTCTTAATAACGCATTTCAATTGAACAATAAAAATTAGCATATCTATAACTATAAGTAGTGACGTCACGCTCCTTATATGGTCATGATATTTGACTATTGCTCTAATACAATTATATAATACATGAGGTGACGCCATTTAATATACTAGTTGGTAGATGTAGATTTCTGAATTTAGCTGGTTACTATAATACAGTGACATTGAGAAAATAGTCTAGAAACTCATATATAGGACCGTTACCTTTCTATTACTCCTTTCATAGTCTTCTTCATTTCCTTTCTATCCTCTTCTGCCTCTCTCAGCACCTTCATTACTTCCGTCAGGACTTCTACCTTATCCATTTTCTTCCTTTCTATCTCCTCTTTTCTTATTGTTACGTCCATTTCTTCCGATATCTCCGATTCCCCTCCGCTCTCTTCGCTTTCACTTCTACAATTCTTCCTTTGCTGACTATCCCCTTTACTTATCTCCTCCTCTCATTTACCTTCTTTTTCCCTCTCATTCCTCCCTTCCCGTCTTCTTACTTTCCTCTTTTACCTCTTTCCCTTCGCGATTTTCTTGGTTTATCATGCCTTTCATTTCTCTCTTCTTCCTATTTTCTCCGTTTCCCATCACAAGCATCTCCAGCGCTACTGTCTTCGCCGTTTCCCGCTCCCTTCTGACCCTTCTCTTGCTCTCTTTCTTCTATGTCGTGGCTTTCGCTCTCCCATCATTCTCCCTTTTACTTTTCCCGCTCTTTTCCTTTTTTAGTTCCTAAAGTTAACTACATTTCTCTTCCTTTTTTCGCCTTTACTTACTTTTTTTCTGTTTTCTTTTTTTTAACTTCATCCCCACTCTCAGACTTTATCTTTTTACTTTATCTCATACTTTTTTTATGCTGCGCCAGACACACATCCTTCCTTCTCAACTCCCGACCGTCGAATGCCGGTTGAAGAAATATATCAATTTAAACAGCGACATGCGTAAACAAGCGAAAAATGAATTTTAAAACAAATGCTATATAAACTATTTAACAACGCCTGAAATAACAGTGAGTCTGAAACCGAACAATTATACTTTACGTTGCGTACGTAAGAGTTTGGAAGATATCGATTTCCGTCCACAAGAATCCATTGAACGAGTAGTGAGATTTATACCACGTAAAATAGAAAAAACAATTCTCACCAGGTATAATAGAAAAAACAACTCTCGGATCTTCCAGTCAAAATTCACAAAGTATATGCTCTGAGAGTCGAGTATAACATTACCTTAGGTGCATTCATGAATGGTAGTAAGATTCACGATATTCATGAATTTTTTCTTGCAGTACCACCTGGATATAAAAGTATCGAAGTTCCTTCAAATATGATTTATCTCCTAGTTACCGTAAATTGTATGGAATTGTATAGATAATTTGTATAGATAATTTACAATTACGCATCGTTGACCAAGACGGAAATTTAATAAACTTTCGAGGTGAAGTGATAATAATTAGATTACACCTGAAAAGTACGTGATGGGAATCGTTTACAATTTAAACAGTAGTGATGGCTATACGAGGTCTGTCCGGAAAGTATCGGGCCTACCTTTATATTTTCGTGCTAGCGTTATTCTTCATCATCTGGTGGGTAGCATCCTTCAAAGTAATCCCCATTTGATTGAATAACACGGTTCCATCGATGTTTCCACTTTTCAAAACAGTCCTGGAACTCACTTTTAGTGATAGCCTTAAGTACACTCGTCGCATTGTTTTCAACCGTATTTTTGTCATCGAATCGGTGTCCTTTGAGTGGTTTTTTTAGTTTTAGAAACAGCCTAAAGTCACAAGAGGCTATGTCGGGACTGTATGGAGGTTATCGAAGCAATGCGATATTGTGTTTGCTCAAAAACTGCTGCACAAGTTTGGATGAATGCGCTGGCGCATTATCGTGATGGAGAAGTCAGTCACCAATAACCCAAAAGTGCGGCCGTTTTCTTCTTACTGCAACACGCAAACGTTTCAAAATTTAAACTTAGTATTCTTTATTGATTATTTGACCTGTTGGTGCATATTCTTGATGTACAACACCTTCACAATCGAAAAAAACAATCAACATTGATTTAACATTGCTCCGACTTTGACGTGCTTTTTTTGGTCTTGGGGATTCAGAATGCTTCCACTGTGAAGATTGTTGTTTTGTTTCAGGATCATAACCATAAACCCATGATTCATCACCAGTAATAACTTTTCTAAGCACATTATCATCATTATTGACCATTTCGAGATTGTCCAGAGCGATTTCTAAGCGAATGTTCTTCTGCTCCGCTGTGAGCAATTTTTAGATGAATTTCGCACACACGTGTTTCATTCCTAAATTTTCGGTTAAAATTTCTGAAATGATAGTTTTTGGTATCCCAAGGTTTTCTTCTAGTTCTCGTACAGTCATACGACGATCTTGTTCGATTTCAAGTCGCACCCGCTCAATATTATCTGCGGTTTCTGTCGTCGAAGGTCGGCCGGAACGAGAATCACTATCGACAAAAGTGCGTTCATCCTTGAACCGTTTATACCACTCTTTTATTTGTGTTTTGCTCATACACTCGCTTCCGAAGGCTTTTTGCATCATTTCAATAGTTTCCGAACTCGTTTTTCCGAGTTGAAAGCAAAATTAAATGCATATTCGTTGATCTTGTTTTTCAGTCATTTTTGACAATATAAAAATCCGACGAACGCGAAAAAGGCACTGTAAACAAAGACACGCTGCGCATGAACTATACGTCCGGCAGGTGTCAGTAAGTAACCAATAGATTCGTGAGGCTTTACTATTGACGTTTCTCTCCGGTAGAGGTCGCTCGAACACTATGTCTGTAACTACCAATGATCCTGGCGATGGAGTTGAGGTAGATAACTAAACGTTTGTGAGATACAAAGAGTAGTAGTTGCGGTCGCCGATCGAGGCGACGGTGCGGCGCTGTGCGCTAAAGCGGTGGTCGCTTGTGTAGATCCCTACACGCTCCCCCTCTATAAAAATCGCAAGAGGCGATTCGGATTTACAATGAAATAAATAACTTACAGACAATTTTTACAAATTAACGGTCTATAAACTAATCGCTTGGAATTCGGAAGACTTCGTTCGCTGCTAAATTGACGGTGACGGTCTTACGCTGCTGAGCTTTTCTCGAAGGATAAGTTTTAAGAGCCGGTCGTTGCGGTGGTGCAAGGTCTCGCGTGGATGTTTGGTTTAGAGCGGCGGACTGGGTAGCGAGATTTAGAGGTGTGCAAGCTCGATTAGTTGCAGGGCACTGCGAAGCGGGTGAGCTTGCCGTGCTCGGAAGCTGATGCACCAGCAATGATCGGGTGATGTGTTCGTTATTGGTTGGAAGCTGCACACTGGTCGTATTTTGTTGTAAAAATGTAGGAAGCGGCGCGCTATTAGATTCGTCGAGGAAGGGTGCTGGTTTTAAAAGCTCGGTAGACACAACTTTAGGTACACCTTTCACTCGTGTATGAACGCTCGAGGGACTTCCTGACAGCCTTAGTAAGTAAAAATACATGTGTGCAGGTGTGTAGGTCCTTGAAAAAGAAAGCACCCGACCTGTATTTTTGTGTGACTGGTATCGGCCTTACTTTGCGCATATGCTCGCGAAATTCTTCGAGGAATATTTGAGGATCGGGCATGAATTCTCCTTCGAGAAAAAATTCTCCGGGAACACACAGTACAGTGCCGTATACGTATTCCGCACGTGAAACGCCCGTTTCCTCGCAAACATGGATGCGAAGTCCGAGAAGAACAGTTGGAAGTACGGCATGCCAATTCTCGTCGTTGTGGTACATGATAGCCGCTTTCATCGTACGATGCCAGCGCTCTATCATTCCATTCGCTTTCGGGTGCCAGGCTGTGGTACGAATCCGTTCGCAGCCTATGAACGAGAGGAGGGCTTTGGTAAGTTGCGCTTCAAACTCGGATCCTTGGTCAGTGGTGACTCTTTCAGGAGCTCCGAATCGGCACACCCAGTTGTCGTAAAAGGCTCGACTAACTGTTTGGGCGGTTTTGTCGCGGATCGGAACCGCTTCTGTCCACCGCGAGAAACGATCAATCATCGTCAGGCAATAAACGAAGCCTTGAGATAGTTTGAGCTCGCCGATTAGGTCCAAGTGGACGTGTTGGAAGCGGCCGTCCGATGCGACGAACGGCGCCGCATTGTTTCTGACGTGCCGGGATATTTTCAATGCCTGGCAGTCGAGGCATGTCTTGCACTAAAGTTTTACGTCTTTGTGCATATTAGGCCAAACGTAGCGCTGTCTAATTACCTGATCGGTAACCTTCGGACCGCCGTAAGCCAGTAAGTGGAACTGGTCGAATACGCGTTTGCGGAAGGGTTTTGGAATGTAGGGTCTAAGAACGGTGCCGCTCTGGTCGACGCAAATACGGTGGAGGTCTTGTCCCCATTCGAGAAAAATAAGCTTCAGGGAATGCTTATCGGTGTTCTTACGGAGTTCTGCGAGTTCTGTATCTTCGGCTTGGGCTTTCGCTAGATCGAGCATATTAAGTTCGAGCGGGAGACGAACTGACTCGACACGGGATAAGCAGTCGGCTACAACGTTCTTAGATCCTGAGAGGTGCTCGATCTCGGTGGTAAATTGAGAGATGTAGCAAAGTTGACGACGACGGCGCGGGGAAGCTTTGTCTGAACGCTGTGCAAACGCAAATACGAGAGCCTTGTGGTCCGTTACAATTTTAACTCTCTTCCCTCGAGAAAGTCTCTAAAATATTTGGTCGCTTCGAAAATCGCAGTTAGCTCGCGGTCGTACGTGTCGTAGTTGAGTTGCGCTTTGGTGAATTTGCGTGAGAAGAACGCCAAAGGTTTCCACGAGCCGTCGAGGAACTGTTCGAGAGCCGCGCCCATTGCTATATCTGACGCTTCTGTTACGACGCGTGTTTTTGCGTGGGGGGAGGGATGGCTCAACAGTGCGGCGTTAGCGAGGTCGGATTTAGCTTTATCGAAAACTGCCTCCGCTGTTGGAGTCCATTCGACGGGCCTTTTGTCGTTCTTGCGCGCATTGTGTGTGTACTTGTACAAGCTCGCTTGCTCGGCAGCTGCATGTGGGAGATTACGACGGTAAAAGTTGATGAAGCTCATGAATGAACGAAGAGTAAGATATATTCTGCGGCTTCGGAAATTCGGTGATCGCGCGCACCATCTCGGTCGTCAGCTTCGAGCATTCGCTGTTGATCAGGTACGAAAGAAAAATGACTTCGTTTTTGCCAAATTTGCATTTAGTAAGGTTGAGTTTAAGACCCGCAAGCTTAAGTCGCTCCAAAAAAAAAGCTTAAGTGCGCAAGTGTCTCTCGTGTTCGTCAGCGTCGACAGAAGAGATTAGAATGTCATCGATATAGACGAAAACGAAATCTAGGCCTTGGAGAACTTGTTTAATGTATCGCTGGAATGATTGTGCAGCATTGCGGAGGCCATGAAAATGAATTCAAAGAGCCCAAAAGGTGCGATCATCGCTGTTTTTATCACGTCAACGGGGGCGACGGGAATTTGGTTGTAGGCTCGATGAAGGTCGAGCTTGGAAAAAATCGTTTTTCCATGCAAATTGACGGGATAGTCGTGAAGATGGGGTACGGGGAACTTATCGGGCTTGCTAACGGCGTTGAACCGACGGTATTCACCGCAGATACGCCATGTTCCGTCTTTTTTGCGCGTCATGTGGATAGGACTCGCCCAGGGGCTTTTAGACTGTAGACAGATGCCCTGCTTAATCAACTCATCGAACTCAGCTTGAGCGGCCTTGTATTTCTCGGGGTCGAGGCGCCTGGCTCGCTCGGCGACCGGGGATCCTGAGGTTTCGATGTAGTGAAATATATCGTGTGTAGTTATAGGTTTCGTCTGCTTGGAGCTAGAGACTTCAGGGTATTGCGACACGATATTTGCGAATCTATTCGTATGGTCGATTATTTTAACTGATGCGACGGCGGATGACTTGAGGTAGCCATGTGCCGACAGACCAGCGTGGCTGTCGATCAAGCGGCAGCCACGCACGTCCACGAGGAGTCCGAAATTGTCGATCAAGTCCGCTCCTATGTAGGCGCTAGGGACTGCTGCGACAATAAAGTTCCAAACGATGGGTCGTCCTAGGTGAAGGTCAAGTGAAAGTTTCTTTTCGCCACAGGTCTTGATGGGCGTGCCGTTTGCTACATATAGTACTAAATCGCTGGGTCTTGCATTTGGGTTAGTGACGGAGATGAGAGAGACGTCAGCGCCCATGTCGACTAAAAAATGCAGACCTGTGGTACGATCGCGGGTATGGAAGCGTTTGGAAACTCCTTCTTCGTTCACAGCTTCCACGTGGCGAGAAGGGGTTAGTTTTCCGTCTTCCAAGAGAAAGGCTGAAAGCACTTGCGCGCCTCTGCGCCGTACTTTGCGTGAATGCGGCATAGCCCATTAGCTTGCGTTGAGGAGGAATAAGACTTGTTGTTCGCATTCTGGTTTTCCGGATGCCTATGCTGAGAGCAAGATCGATCGCGGTTAGGGCGGTTAAGTTGGCTTCGAGTTTCGCGACCTGAGCCGTCAACTCGGCCAGCTGACTCTCTAGGCTTGGAGCTTTTGGCTTGTTGACTGCTGCGATGAATCCCGGGTCCGACTCTGCTGATTCGGCGTACTTGTCAGCCATCTCGCTTAAAGTTTCGAGGTTGATGACGTTGGAAACCGCTAGTGCTGCTCTGCAAGGGGCTGGAAGCTGCTCGAGGAAAACGGATTGGATGATGTTGTCGGTCGCACCAGTGTTCAGAGCTTTCAGCCTTGTAATGATGAGAGACGGTTTGCCGTCTGTGGGGACTTGACCTTTCATCATTCGTCGCAAACGCGTTTCTGCAGAAGAGCTGTAGGCTGCTATCAGTTTGTCCTTCATGAGTTGATACAAGTTGTCCGGCCGTGGATCTCGTTGCAGAAGTTCAGAGACAACTTGGAGAGTTTCGATATCCAACTTCTCAGCGATGAAGTCAGCCTTAGTTGGAGACGCGATGATTCCGGTGTTGAGCAAGGTTATTTCAGCTTGGAGAAACCACGTGTTAACGTCCACACGCGAAAAAGCGGGGATTTTCGGTTGACCGTAGCTCGCGTTGATTTGGGGGGGTGGATTGGGTACTTGCGCTTGGTTAGCGTTGCGTAGCTCGGTGATGGCTTGCTGAGCAACCGCTAGCTGTTGTTGGAGGGTTTGGAATTGTTCCATAGTCGGTGTCACCGGTGGGACCATTTCGAAAGTGTAATCGTAAAGGTGGTCGAAAAGGAGAGAAAAAATTTTGTCGATTTTTCGATTCGCTCGCTACCTGATAACGTCGTTACGTGTGAGTGGTTAACAATGTTCCCTTACTGCGCTCACAGACGCCTTACAAAGTTTCGCAGCTAATTTTCGACCAAACACACGCCGCAACTCGCGATCTATTCTCTCCTTTGTTCACAACGCGAAAAAACAAAAAAATTCCAATGAAAAAGAATAAATGCGAGTCGGAGGGGCTGCTGGTAGTTTGGTACGTGAAAATCGTGTCGATACGAAAAAGAAAACAACGCCGCGCGTGTGTAACGGGCGTCGGGTTCTCGGAATCGGGTATTGGCGCGCTAATGTAAACACGTTCGCTCGTGTTCCTTTTCTGTACGCGACGCACGTATGTACCTACGTAAAACTTCTCGTGTAGTCGTTGTACTCGGAGATTACGTCCGATAATCGCCGTTGCTGCAGGTGCTGCGCGGGTGTGGCGACTGATGCGGCTGCGGCGACGAGTTGCGAAAAACGTGCCTCGTACTTTTCCTTCTTCGGGTATCGGCTTCACGCAGGGGATACCCTCTTCGGGTGTTGGCTTCACGCCAGGGACACCCTCTTCAGGAAGTGACCTCACGCCTGCCTTCCACCGGTGCTCCTCTTGAGATTGTCGCGATCGTGGCCTTTGGCGCGCCGGCGATTGGAAAAAAACGAGCACGGACCTGCTCGTGCACGTCTCGCTAAGAGAGAATTTTACGATTCTCCCGCTCCCGTATCTCGAGGATTTTTCGACTTGAGGGTGTAGTCCTTGATCTTCGCTCCTGTTCGAAGTCGGGGTCACCAATGTAACTACCAATGATCCTGGCGATGAAGTTGAGGTAGATAACTAAACGTTTATGAGATACAAAGAGATTTATTTGACTTGTAGAAGTTACAGGAACAACCTACCGTTACGGCGGGTAGAGCGGTACTGCCTGTAGTTGCGGTCGCCGGTCGAGGCAACGGTGCGGCGCTGTGCGCTAAAGCGGTGATCGCTTGTGTAGATCCCTACATGTCGCGAAAATATAAACGTAGGCCCGATACTTTCCGGACAGACCTCGTATAAGCAGTAAAACATACAAAGCAACCATCAGTCGTTGATTGAAAGTAAGAGCAACAACATGGCCAATTCCGATTGTCAATCGTTATAGAAAAATGAAGGTATTAATACATCAAAACACAAAGTTTTTAAAAAGTCTCGGCTTAAAAGTAATTTCTGGTGGAAAGTAAATTGCATTATTTTTTGCTGCTGTCAACGCAATATTGGAAAAGGTTCTAGAAAGACAGTCATTTGCGCCTTTTATGAATCCTTGACTCATTATGCAATTCATACTCATCAATCGCACACCAATATATCTTTCAAAAATAGCGATGAAATTCGCATATCAAATCAACATCACGACTTGTTTCTTTGACCTTCTCGTAGCTCATTGCGTATATATACTCTATTCGTAAAAAACGCCATTTGTCACTCGCTTGAGGAAATTAGGTATGAGCTAAATGCGATAGAAATCGATAAATGCAAAAACGTTGGTCTAAAAACTATTATGAAAAATTGGCTATCACTTAATCTAAGTCAAAATTGATTTAATGAAAATGCTGGATAATAAAAAATAATCAACCAGGATGAATATTTCGATGTTACTATTTCTTTAAACTTCATTCTTGGATTTGCTGAAGATTATCGCAAAGTATTGGTAAATATGAAACATGAACTAACGTGATTTTTCATTTCTAGACGTATATCTTGTTGTACCCTTTTTTGAAGTATTTTATTGCTTCTGTATTTATAGTATATTCAAATTCATGTCTGATTCTAGTTTTTCCATTCCCGTGATTTATAACCATTTGTCCTGTAATCTTTTTATGTAACTTAAAACGGATTCATTTGACTTTCGGATGATTTCCGTAAATTTGCCTTGTAAACTGTATTTTTTATCTTACCCTTGTAAATTATGAATGTTATTTATCAAGGGATAAAGATGTTTTATTTCTCTTATATAATCCTCTTGTAAATTCTAAAATTCTTGTAAAATGATTGTAAATTCTATTTTTTTGATTTTCTTATTTGATAGGTCATTTTCCGGAATATTTGTTAAGTTTAAATTATTTTCGAAATTAATCCGTGCTTAGTCTTTTTCTCCAGTTTTGAATTCTGATTTATTTATTTTATGATTATTTAATGTTTTATTAGTTTCCGAATTAAAATTTACGTCTTTATTACGACCAATTATTAGACTCTGTTCCCTTAATCTGCCTTCAATATCAGAATATTTCGCATTACTGTCTGAATCAAATATGCTGCTAAAATTATTATGCGAACTTTTAATTTTCGATTGTAGTTTCTGGATTTTCAGAGTAATTCGTTACTTGTAACGGAGAATCTCGGCTAGGCCGATCTCATCCGTTTGGCTCTCGCAAATGTCCGTGCGCCGCGCCAGGCTAAGAGTGTGTGCGTTTGGTACACACACTCATGCTTGGACCTTTTGTTTACGAGGTGCTGAACACGGGCTAAGCTGACTACTGGAACGATGCAGATGGCGCAGAAGAAGAGAGAGAGAGAGAGCGCTCGAATTGGAGATCGCCTCGGAAAAAGTTCGGTGGAGTCGCTGCTAAGCTATGGGCAGAGGAAGTCGCGCGCGCGAATAAAACCGAAAGGTCACGGTTTTCCAAGTTGGCCCCGCGACCTCGTCGACGATCGTTCGTTTCGGTGACACGCCCGGTGCGTGGACGAGTATTGTTATTAACATGTTTATTATTTTATAATTAAATATACATCACAAGCGAGTTATGTCCGCAGAAATCCAACCCTTGACCCCTAACCTGCCTAACCCCAAAAAACCTCCCCTACCAAACCACAAACAGGCTAACCCAACTAATCCAGCATATTTATGAATTATTTTTTCTGTTATTAAATATATCCCATATCACAAGCGAACTTATGTTAGCTAACCAAGTTACCCCTAACCCCTAACCGTTCAAAATCCAAAAGACTATTCCTATCAAATCACAAGCAAGCTAATTTATCTTACTCTGGCCTCAGCGTGTTTTCTTAAGCATTGTTTGAATAAATGTATTCTACATAATAAGCAATTTAGGACAGCAAACCATTGTATCCTTAACGTAATGAATCCTTAAAAAACACCTTTACCAACTAGTATTTAGTTGGTAAAGGTGTATTCACTTAATCCTAAAACACTACTTATCCGCATTGAACATCGCGCCTAAACGTCATCTGGCGTAGACGTAACACTGTTAAGTCCAATTATACATAAAAACTAAAATAAAATAAGTCACAATGAGTGAAAATCAAAATTTTCGGAAATACAGTTTAATACGACCTTCTTGTCTTTATACGCAGCATTCAACGTGTTTCTTCGTGACATTTGCAAGCACTTTTCTACTAATATTACTGAATTGTTCTCTGTTTCATATTCTCCAACCACCATCTTGGTGCACCATCTTTACTGTTACCAACAGCATTTCTTGCTAGTCCAGATCTTTTAACCATTGCACACAAATTATTTTCTCGAAATAGTTATAATATTATATATTCTTATAAATAATACGCGGCTGCGGTAAGGTTTCCGTGAAATAAATACGGCTTAATTAGTCAGTTGTTAATGATTCCGGCCAAACCATGACTGACCATCTGAGTATAAAATGTAAGGGTTAATTATTTAAAATAATTTTGTAGGATAATCTATGGTTTTTCTAGCAAAGCGTTTATTTCAAGCAAAATCCTATTGCATGTCGTGGCATTACGTAATCAATTAATCATTCAAGTAAATTGAAACATTCAAACTCTCAATAAATAAATTTTCAATCAAACTGACAAACTAAAGCTTATTTTAATAATATTTTAATAATATTAACATTATAAATAAATTATTTTCATTTTCTAAATTCGGAGTGCTGCTGAGTATAAAATTTATTTTTATCTACGTTTCAAATTAAACTTAATGACAATAGTAAAAGCAAAAGTATAATAATCATATTTTCATGTTTCCGTAACTAAACACATGCGCAATTGAATTGAATTTCCCTAAATATAGACTGATTTAATTTTATTATCCACATTTCTCAACATCTGCTTATTGTTTGCCTTGAGGTTCCAATACCGCACAGTTTGTTTGTTTAACATTCCTTTCTTTGTGAAGATCATTCGTCAGGAAATAAAACTCTTCGGAGAAAATCATTGTCATCATCTAATTAAGTTGTGATGAATTGTACATAATTCGATCTTAACGAAAAATCTCTTGGAAATAATGTCTGGATTTTTTTGAGTTTTATAGGGATATCTCGTTTTTTGAACTAACTTTTTAACAACTTCTTTATCTGTATCTGTATATTGTAATGCGATACATTACAAGGCTTTGCCTGAGAGTGTTGCACTATTTGCAATACTTTAGAAAGGCCATTCTCGTCCCTTGCCGCCCCGTAACCAGTCGGATAATTATGACCTACGCGCGCCCTAATCCGGACACTAATTTTTTCCCATATCCGTCTACCCATACCCGAGAAAACGATACAACAAGTCGAAAATCGTGATTCGACGGATGATTGAAAAATGGAGCGCACGACGAGGAAAAGAGAGCACCCACACATACACTCCCGACCACGTGTAGCCGGCTGGAAAGAAACATACGGAAATTTGACTGGGAAATGCAGCGGAAATGCATGATAGCGGTATATGCAAATCCGTTACACTCCCAGATACTGACACGAACACTCTGGAGACGCTGCACACCTGGGGCGACCAGAAAATCGTCGATGAAGCGGCAGCCGGCAATTAGCTATGTCAGGCTGCTGCGCACCATAGCCGATATCCTGAACGCCACACACACAAACACTACTGCCGACCACTGACAATACCCGGAGATATACTCACATAATACCCGGATACATACTTACACCACACGACCGAAGGGGAGCGCTCCAGGAGGTGCTTCGGAGAT